ATTAGGACTGTATTACTGTCTGCATACTGGAGAGGTTGAAGAGTAATCCTCTGTTATGGTATGGGCATGTAATGCATAGGAATGAAGATAATATTTTAAGAAAGGTGTTAGATATGAATGTGGATGGTTATATGGACAGAGGAAGGCTGAAAAAGAGATGAATGGATTGTGTGAAAGATAATATGGTAAGAATGGAAGTAAATAACGAGATGATTGCGAACGGGGATGAATGGAAGAGAAAATATATTACCACGACCCCAAATAAATGGGATAAGGATGAAGCAAATGATGATGACGATGATTAAGACTGCATTACTGTAAAATATAAAGCAAAATATGAAATAACGGATTCCACAGTCAGATACAAAATCTCAAACACTGTGTGAATGGCATTAAGAGCATGAATGTATTTTATGATATTGGTGATACTACTTATATTATGTCTACTATTTTCACACATATAGCCTATTAAAAAACTATATTATACAAGTAAAAAAAGTTTATAAATCAGCCTAATGCATAAATAAAAGTCATTTGAGTACCCATCAGATGGTATCATGAGGTAATACTAAAAGCAGCTTGTGTACTTATTATTGTAGAAAAAATAATTAGCGCTTAATAAAGCATCTCAATATACGAATATGAGGTAGGTGAATATGAATTAAGCGTGTTAAGCGTATAACTTAAGTAAGTATAAAGGTAAGATGCATATACGTCTTTACCATTCCAGTAGAAACTAAACATTAGCGCTTGATTAAGTGGCTTGATAGATGAAGCTACATATAACAACTCATTAAGGTCGTATATAACATAAAGCGCAAAAGCGCTTAAAAGCAAAGCGAGTGTGAATCATACAATTTATTAGCCACATTTCTAAAAGTAGCAACTAATACGCCAACCAAATTGTCTTATCGGAACGAACCATCTAACCGTTTAACGTAAATGTGTGGCTAGGGTAAGACAGCTGTAACGTGCTTCCAATTTGATCGTCAAGGAATTTCTTGATAATTAACCGTCAAATGCGATATTAGTATTATTTCAACATAATATAATAGGTGGAATTAGGCATAAGCAAGATTTGATGATTTCATTATATTTTAGGGTTTAAGTAATGAACGCGTTCTTAGCAATTGTTGTTGTCTGTTGGCCTTGTATCCAAGAAGGAAGACGTCAAACCAGAACTGTGTTTTATTGAAATCTTGACACTATTATCAGTCGCAAGATTTCTTACAAAACATGGTTATAGATATATAAATTCAGAAAGAAACTTTTCCACACAATTTAATATAATTTACACAGATATATAAGTCGAATATATTTCACTAATGTAATAAAGTAACAGACTATTTCCCATTTTCATAAAAAAAGTGAGACAACACTGTGAGCAGTAAAAGTAAAGTTGTGTGCAACTTATTTGATAGTCTAGGAGTCTCTTTACAGTCGATCGTCAAATGCAGACGGTGACGCTCATATCTGTAGATACGCGCAATTTAAAAGCTGATGTATATCCTGGGAGATGCGTGACGAAAATTGGAAACATCCTATTATTGTTTTAGCTAAATGTAATAACAAAAATATTCTCAGCAGTCTGCATTCACGTCATTTTTACACCACATCCGTATTTACGCGTATTTAATAATAAATATAATAAAAAAAAATATCCCTGAACAATTCACCCAGCGCCATCTAGTCCCAAGGTAAGCCGAGCTCCTGTTATGGGTACTAGATAACTGATATAAATACTTAGATACATTTTTTAAATACATACATAATGTATATATATATAATACAAATATATACAAATGCTTGTATCGTATATAAAATAAAATGCAAATATTTGTACCGTGCGAGGATCGAAACCGCGATCATCGGAAGTAAAGCAGTATGCCAATCGGTAGACGACAGAAGTCGTTTTCTTTTTACAAAAAAATGAAAAATCATTTTTTTTTAATTATTTCGTTTTTTATTTATTTTGTTTCAATATTTACTTGAAAGATGGATAGATAAGAATTTTATTTGTACCTTCAGCACACACACAAATGTTTAGTTACGAGCAGTATACATTACAATAGATTTATAGTAATACAAAGTATATCAATAAAATAAAATAATATATATTTATTAAGATTCATATAAAACTCGTTACATAGAAGAGATAAATATATCTTATATATAAAATTCTCGTGTCACAGTTTTCGTTCCCATACTCCTCCGAAACGGCTTGACCGATTCTCATGAAATTTTGTGAACGTATTGAGTAGGTCTGAGAATCGGCCAACATCTATTTTGCATCCCCCTAAATGTTAGGGGTAGTCCACCCATATTTTTTTTTTTTATTTTAAGGCAATACAACGTTTGTCAGGACAGCTAGTATTTATATATATTTTATAATTATCGTTAATAAAAGAAAGTCATGTGTTTGGTTAACATGTTTTTCTTTGTATTATTGGTTTTTTTTTATACATTACAGATGCTGTATATATTGTAGTAGCTATTTCTTTTATATAGTTATTTTTATTTTATATATTATTCTTGCCTTGTACCCTATTATAGTGCTTGTATGAAATTGCCCACCTACCTTGTAATATGAGCCTTGGGGTAAGTTCGCATCGCCGTAAAATTAACTTTTATTATCTGTTGTGTGCCGATAATTTGATTTCAGCCCCTTCTTGCTTCAATATAAGATGTTTTTAGGGAAGAAAATATTATACCATAACGATGTATTCTCGGTATTTAAATACGATATTATATGTTGGAGGACGCGTAATGTTCAGCTCTTTTTAGATAGTTTATATGTTTTCCATATCTTTTTTATGTGAAGAAAGAATATTACACGTAATAGTTTTTTAAGAAAAACTAATACATGGAGACTTTATCAACGTAATAGAACCTTAAGCAATGACTATTAGAATCTTTGTGTTTATCTATGTGCAGTTATCTCTAAAACTGCTTAACTAAGTTAGATTCGGTTTTAGATAAAATTTATTGTGATAAGCTTGACTTAAAATGTGTTTTTAAAATTTAAAGTGTAAATAAAAATGACTTTTTAAAACTTATAATGTTTTTGTTATTCTAATATATTAAGAAACAAAAAAAATCAGCGATACAAAGTTTAGCGGGTTTAACTATTGTGTAATATATGTATATCGTGATGCCGTGAACGGCTAAACCGATTTCGCTGACTCTTTTTTTGTTCAAAATTCAAAATTCAAAATATCTTTATTCATGTAGGTCTATTACAGACTCTTATGATATGTCAAATCTCTCAGTTCGGAATGATATCGAGATGAGAAGAACTGACAAGAAACTCATTAATTTTTTTCAAATAATAAACATGTTTATGATAAATACAGTTATTAAAATTCAAATTTGGGAGAATAGAGCGTGACCACCAGCATATGCTATCGCAAAGAACAAAAAATGTAATCAGTGTTCACAATGCCCCACAAGCAGCACCCGTTCACGAGTATGACGTATGAGCCAGCCATCATTGTACTCAACCATATTTGAGGGAGCATGACCCGGCCCACCACGCCGCCACAAGTTTGAATTTAAAATGCATGACTGTTTCAGGTTACTCCACTACGTCAATTATATTATTTACTAGGCTGTATATATTACAATATTAAATTTACATTATTTAATTTACAATATGTCATTACAAAATTTATAATAAGTTTCTTTATTGTTATTACATTATCCATGTCAATGGGAAAAATTATATGCCTCATAACAAAAGTTAAAATTGTAATTAAGTCCACACATTGTAGTCATTTAAGTAGTCGTTTATTTTATAATAAGCTTTAGAGCAAAGTGTTTTTTTACATGTATCTTAAATTTGGCTTCACTTAAATTTAAAACACTATCTGGCAATTTATTATAAAAACGTATACAATGTCCCATGAAAGATGTACTTTTTTTTGAGACGATAACTAGGCATATTTAATTTATTTTTATTCCTTGTATTAAAAGCGTGTAAGTGACATTTTTTGGAAATAAATTTAAGTTTTTGCGTACATACATAATATTTTCATATATATATTGAGAGGGAACAGTAAGAATACCTGTTTCTTTAAAGAGTTAAGAGATAAATTATATATTGAACGAATTGCTCTTTTTTGTAATATAAAAATTGATTCTACATCAATTTATATATATACCATACGACATTATACTATGGATTAAAATACACTAGTTTCGCTGTTGCAGTATCAGTGAATTTTTCTGATAGCAAAAGCAGCCGAGCTGAAATATATGTGGACCCCACTGCAATTTATTATCTATTACAATACCAAGAAACGAAGTCTCATCAACAAAGTACAAAACATGATGATTCATACTAACAGTTGTCGTTACTTGTTTTACATTTGCCATTTTGTTTTCATTGAATTAAGCGCTAGATTATTTGATGTAAACCAGTTTAGTTTAGTTTGTTGTGTTTCTTATTGTGACGAGAACATTATAAAATTAAAATGGTCGTTATGTGTCATACATACTATGTACAATGTGCAGGCTCAATACTCATAGTTAAGTCAAGACGTCCGTCATACCAGCTAGTATGGAATAAAATGAATGAATATTAGGTACCTGAAACTCTCATATATTTCTAGTACTTTGTACTTGGCTTACATCGTAAGTGTATCATTTCAGCCACCACTCTAAAAAAGTATCACGTTTCGTATGTAGAAGGTCCATTTGGGGGAAAACATTTACTTTAATGGGCACCTCTAATTAATAAATAACTTTGATACTAAATTTATATACGAGTATATATATGTGTATAAGATTTAGAGTTTGAACTTGAATATTGTGGAGTTATTTCTGATACTACTGATCTAATAATAATATTCCTGGATAATTTACATCGCCATCTAGCCTCAAGCTAAGTAGAGTTTGGGTTTGTTATGGGTACTAGATGACCGGTATACTTATCATAAATACTATGGAAGTATGTCTGTTTGTAATCATTTAAAATGACTAAATTGAATTTTTTGTTTCAGCTCTACCTGTGTACGCTATACTGAGTATTGTACTCAGTTCTGTAGTAGTGGTGCTGGCCATTCTATCAGTATTCATATACAGGTGAGTAAAACAACAAGAAAGTCTTTGTTATTATTATTATTATTATTATTATTATGTTTTACAATATCATTAAGATGTATAACCACATACAATATACTAATGTTCACAATGACAAAGTACTAATTAGAAATTATATATATATATATATATTTATTTAAAAAAAATATATATTATTTATCTGTGTGTCACAGCTTACAGCTGATGAAATAATAATAATAATAATCTCAGGACATTAACATTATTATTATTATTACTATCACTGTGGTCTCATTGATTATTATTATTATGAAATATCATTAAGATGATAACCACATACATATACATAGATATATTTTTTTGTAAATACATACATATTATACATAGAAAACATTTATATATATATATATTCATTTATTTAAAATATTTTATGCCGTAGGGAATCTTAATAGTACCATCGGTCGTAAAGCGGTGTGCTAGACCGCTAGACCACCGAGGTCGTTAAAGAGTGAAGAGATACTCGAAGGTGGTTTAGTTTAATAAATAAATATATCAATTTATAAATTTTAATACTTTCTAGTAGTGATAATTTATTTAGCTTATTTATAGAATGAAATATTTTGTAACAACGCTGATTTTATTATTAACGTAACGTAACTATAACAGGAACAAACTGACGGATCTGAAATGATCGGAAAGTATGAGAAATAGTTTCGAAATATACATACAAAATGTCATCCAAATCGATCCAGCCGTTTAGTAGCAACTGCTACTGTATGTGTTTGCTACTAGTTAGGTAGCAAACACATACTGAAGAATTAGATATATATATATTAAGACGTTATAAATGTATGATTCTAACTTTGCAATTAGTGCCCACTAAGAAAGCCAAAGTAAATACGAAGCTAATTCATTACAATCTATCACAGACAAGTTGTGAGTCCATTTTCTCTCGTTTATAAATAAATCTTTATATTACTGTTCCAACAAAAACTCTATTCACATTATACTACACACAAAACATATATATTATCTGGGCTCCACATTATATTATATATAGTGCCCAATATTATTTTGTTATCGGAAAAGTAAATGCGTTTAATGTTGCGCAAAATGTTTAATGAAATTAATTTCGCAGATGTATGATTGTAATAACGGTTTACCACTAGCTTGCTTTGTAATGACTGCTACTTCGTATCCCGTTGAATATAAACACATAAATTTATAAGCGTTTTTTTCGCTTTATCGACGTGGCAAGAATGCAACTGCTATACTGCCTTATCGATATTATAGGTTTAATAGATGATTTATAAAAATAAATAATAATAAAATATACAGCTACCAATATACATAATAAATATTACAAATGTATATGTCAAACTTTCTCTGGACAATGTTATGTCAATCCGTTTTTTCATAACAAGAAAAAAAGCAACAAACTCTTTTTTTTTCTTGTTTATTCTTCTTGACTGAATCTAAATAAATAGTATATTAAAACAACTAATGACTATTCAAAACTGTTTATACTGAGTTTATTTGAATAAATAATAATTCCAATATTTTTAAGTATGAAGTAGGTACCTATATTTGTAATTAAATAAAAATAAAAATAAATTTTCAATATGAATATTTCTCAGACAAATAATTATATTGAAAGTCGTTATATTATCGTCTGAATGCACCTTAAGATTTTATCCAGGTCAATGAAATTTGATGTCTGGACTAAGATTTTAGGTATTAACGTAATATTTAAGTTTATGTCATTAAAATAGCAGAGAAGCTGGATAATCCACGTAATAGTAAATGATTGCCGATATACTTTAAGCATTACGGACATCACGTTATCACGTAACACCCGTGATACTACAAATGCGTTGCCATTATAGAGGACTAAGATCCCTCTTATGCTGTAATTTCACTGCCTAATTTGACCTTACAACTGAATAACAACTTACAAAGCAAGCTGCTTGGCGGCTGAAATAAGTAAGACTGAAGATGAGATTCGTATGTATGCCCCTTAAGCAAGAGTAAACAGGTCAATGACATTTGCTGTCGAGACCAAGATTTATCATGCATCACATTCATAAAGGACCAACTCATCATAATATCCGGTCATCAAATAGACTTCCAACTATAACAATAAATCAACTACTTCAGTGAGGATTCTCGCGTCATAGGGAAAATGAAACAAAAGGAAAAATCTAGCAATTTTTCATGTTCCTTTTGAATGTGTTTCGGCTATTGTTAAAATTAGGCCACTGTATATATTTTATTTCCTACTGGGCTTATATAATCTGTGGTATAAGTGAAAAGAAGTGAAGTTTTGTTATCTATCAGCGATCCGCCCCAGCTTTGCATAGAAGCATTACAAATCTTTGAATATCTCGGCTTTTTTGCACAATAATATTCTTGTATTATACATATATTCCTCTTGAATCACGCTATCTATTGCTGAAAACTACATTAAAACCTGTTGCGTATTTTAAACGATATAACCGTACAGACTGCAGCGGTATCGACGACTTTGTTCCATACTATGTAGACGTACTAATCCAAACTAAGATTATAAATACGAAAGTCAGTGTGTCTATCTGTTTGTTACCATTTCACAATTTTGAGACGTAGTTAAATTGTATCATGAGGTCGTCATCGTATTCCAACATAATCTTCTACCTCAAAAGATAATATAAGCAGGGAATATATAGGAGGTGAGAATTTTTACAGAAGTCGTGGGTGACAGTGTGTCTGTAAATGCAAGAGGTTATGATCAAGACACTGAAATTTTGCTTCAGTTGTATCTTTTTTTATAATATTATAAATAGTTGCTCTATTTTGAATACTACCCTATCTATGATAAATTTTAAATTAGGAATTTACACATATCTACTCCATTGTGAATATTTAAAAAAATGATTTTATTACCAGGCATTATAAGCTGGAAGCGGAGATAGCGATGATGACGTGGCGTGTCAGCTGGACCGATGTACTTCATCCCAGTGGCAGATTCCGAGGCAGCATGCATTCAATCGCGCGCAGATTCAGTACTGGAGTAAGTTCATGACATTTTTTATTTTTTTAGAGACATTTAAACAATTCATTTTGTTCTTAATCCAGCCTTGGGTGGTACAAAATAAAGACTATCAACTAATATCTGACCAGACCTGTACATCTAGGATATGCCTAAAATGAATCGGAAACTATGAGTTAATTTTCGCTAATATATTAACCTGATATATTGTACCAGGGAAATCAGATACCGCCAGTATATAGACATTGAAATATATAGTTTCGACATTTGTAACTTTAAACAAATACATACATACTCGTAGATATGATTTTAGCAATATTTCTAATGTACAGCCGAACAGTATTCACCTCTATATATGCGCAGGCTATACAGACAGATTAACTTAATTTTTTTTTATTGCAAATATTTCAACACTCCACCCTTACCTATGTATATCGATTTCACTATATTTATAGGATATAATAGTAATTATTGGTTATAACCTCTTTGGAGATTCTCCATTTAAAGTAATTCTTCTTCACGCTTTTAGTTGTTCGTACCTTAATAAGGAATTTGATATAGTAACATACGATAATGACTTTGTACATTACCTCCAATATAAGTTTTGATTATAGATCTGGTATATGTATGTGTACAACCACAGTTATGTCTTTAATATAATACATATAATAGAACAATTTTCAACTACTGTAATAATCAAAGTTAGGATGAAACCCGCGTTTCATCTGCGGCTAATTGTTCCCGAATTGACAGAATTAATATATTTGATCATGACGTCATTCACCGTGGCGTCATATTCGGATGACTGACGCTGTACAATGGATGTTTGCTATTCGTGATAATCGAGTGATTAATTATCAGTTTATGGTTGGTTTATTAGATTAAATGTCAATTGTTAACAGTTATGGTATTTTGTAGCGTAGATTTTGTACTTTGGAATTTGATTATGTATAATGTAAGATCTATCTATATTTTGTGGGTATCGAACTAGAAATAACTCATATATTGTTATGTTGTATATCAGTTATTTCTACATAAAAAAAATATAGAAATTAAATTGAGATTTATATCTACTGTCATTCTTAAAAAACAATGTTTGTTTCATCACTAGAATTCAGTTGACAGTGCGAATAATCAATTCTCTGGTTGATTGCTGATGTGTTTTATTTTATTGCACTTATAACACTGTTACAATTTGGCGAGCTTAATGTATGTCGTTTATAAGTTTTATAATTATATATAAATGTTTATTAACTTTATATCGTTATCTGCATATTAAATTAGTATATTCATTGTGATATAAATATATAAAAATAATAGGACATTTGATACTTTTAATATTTAAACAATATTTTAATAATTTTTACTTCAACAAACTAGGTATCACATATAGATGACACTTTATTGTTAAATTGGAAGAATTAAAAAAAAATCTGATACGTTATTTATTAAAACAATAACGAGAAACTTAACTAAATGATTAGGGATTCATTTATAATTATAGAATGTGTTATTGAATATTGAAATCATGGAACCAAAGTTCGATATTTACTTAATAAGTCGCAAAATGTATTTATAATATATGAATATTAATTATATGAATGTTACTAACATTTACAATTATTAACATTAAATTGCTGCTATAGGCTGTCTTTCTGCTATAAATACATCAAAAACCGAAATTGTTCAACCGTAAATAATAGAAACGATTATTTCTTTAAGCCTTACAAATAACAAGATTTCCTTATTCGAATGTAGTAATTTTTGCTTAACAATAAAAAGTATTAGCGAAGACTCCCTGGTTTCGAATCCTATAATCGTTGATTCTGGTAAATTGCTTTTATGCTTACAACGGAAAGAATTTTGTAACCTCTTAAATAAAAGGTGTACTATACAATCATTGTGTTCAATTCCTTTATGTCGCTTTTCTTCTTAGAACCTTTTTTCTAGTTCATTAGACGATTTCAAATAAAGATCCTGATTATACTTGATTTTTTATTGTTTTGTTATATAGGTTCGAATAAATCACGTAATACTTTATGAATCTTATCTTATGTATATATTTTAGAAACTAGCTCTTGCTTTTTATGTATGTGGTATATTATGAATGTCCTTTATATATTTCCTAGAAAAAAATCTCCTTATAAAATATACATTCATATCGCTACATTTATTTTCCTTATTCCTATTTTATTATAACATCTGTTTTAATCGAGAGATGATGTACAAATAGATCTCTATAAAAGAAAAAAGTCTACAACTTAAAAATGAAACCACAAAAAAGAACTAAATTGTGATAACCATTAACACAGACTTTTGGAGATCATACCCATATAGTAGGTACTCCATATAATGATCACAAATTGAGATAGCAATAGATATCAGTTCCCTCAAAAAATATCGTTATACCGTACCATGTGTGGAAGACAAGAGTAATTAAGTGTTAACTTAACAAGCCGGTTGAATGGCGTTTGAAGGCTGAACGTTGTATCTGCAATGGACGTTCGTAATTATGAGTATATCCCATAATTAGCTCCTGTCTCTGTTATTGTCATATTATAGTTATGGCCATGAAGACCAGCTATTGACAGCGATCGGACATAGAATCCATGCTATATGTGATACCTTGTACGTGGAAATCTTTAACTACCATACATATATGAATATCTGTAAATACGCGAATATCTGTGACATTTCGTATGACAAAAGAAAATATTTGACAACCCTAGAAATATTAATATCTATAAATACATGAAAATCTGCGTCATTTCGTCAGTTACCTGGAAATCGCAATAACTTTTAATTGAAAAATGTAAAAATTATAATTATATATATTTTTCCACTTTTTATGTTTGTTCTATTTTTATCTAAGTTAATATTATAAATAGGACTTTTTTTTATTACTAATGAATAAAATAAAATATTACTTAATAGATTTTATAGCAATATTACTAGTTGCTAGGTTGTTTTTTTTAAATAGTGATCCTAAAATATTGCACTATTTTACGGGTGTTATGTATTTTGTCATGACGGGAGATAACGACATTTTAGTAATCTCCACGTTGTCTGCGATAATAAAGTTTTTTTTTTAACTATAATAGTATCTAGGTACAGACGCTAACGACTCACTTGATGATAAGTGAAAATCGTAACCTGCTGTTTATGTTTATTATAAACAGGACCGTAGACAACACACGTTCATGTGACCTCTGTAATTTACCTCAAGTGTTGTCATTCTGTAAGACTAAAGTGTCATGCTTCCATATCCTGTCCTGTAATTTCACTGTCATATCGCTTTTCAATCGAAACACAATTTACAAAGCACTTTACTTGACTGTTTAAGTGAGACAGAAATACCCACGCTTTATCCAAAGTTTACTTCGTTAAAAAAATACTCACACATTTTTATTAATTCCAGACTGGCTACTCAGATGAAGTTGCGTCCCTACCAGGCGACAGACAAGTCTTCGCTCCATGTGGTTTCTACAAAGGTTGTCGAGTTACTATCAAGAAATTGGATAAACAACGCATAGATCTTACTAGACCTTTGCTGTTAGAGTTGAAGAAAATGAAGGATTTGGAACACGATCATTTGGCCAGGTTCTACGGTGCTTGTGTCGATCCGCCCCACTGTTGTCTGCTTACAGAATATTGTCCCAAAGGATCTCTTCAAGATATACTTGAAAATGAAAACATAAAATTGGATTGGATGTTCAAAGTCAGTTTGATGCACGACATCGTGAGGGTAAGAAGCTTTCTATGTTTAAAACGAATTACTTAATGCTTAAGTAAATTTTAACTTAATAATGTTAATAATATTTGGATTGATCCATTTTAGAAAATTACAAAATTAGAAATTCCAGAAGGAAGGATTTTGTACTTTCTAATGAAGTTAATTAACATTGCTTTATTCTTGAACAAAAATTAACGACAGCTTTGTTATTTAAAGAAATAAACACTTACTTCAAACATATTTTTTTTATAAATTTCACATTTTTAGTATATAAAACAACTAAAATAATTTTAATCTTTAATTCGATAGTAATTATACGAGATTTCTAAAACAAAGAGTTTCACAAATAGTTCGACAGTAAATATACTTCTTTACACATATTAAGAAAAAAGCTGTAAGTTTATATTTAAAATAATACTTAAAAACGTTTGAAAATAAAACTGAGTATACATAATATTTATTGTCACATATGCGAAGGATTAATTTATTGGACTCGACTACTATAGCCCCAAGTCCTGTGACTGCGAAAAGGCCTATAAATGATCTAACAGATAGGGCGTTAATATCATTTTGACAGCTAACAGTTGAAGGGATATTAGTACTTACATTAATTTTTGGCAATTTAATACAAATTAGAATTTATTGAATGTTCTTAATTATTATACTATGTGTAGGAATAGAACATTAAAATGATCTATTTTGAGTTTTAATATTGAGTGGGCAGAAATGACGGGGGCGAAGATATAACGTAGATTTATTAGAATTTTCTAAAATTCCAAGCATGTTGGTATATAATTAGGCATGATAATACCTTCAGGCTTGGAAAAACGTACAAAGGTAAGCACGTGGGAGGAACATAACCAAGCAAATAAGGTTTGCAAATTTTTTTATTATACGCAGAGCATTGTAAATGTTCATAAAATAAATATGATACAATTCATATTACTAGTATATAAATCAGAGACAGAAAGAGAACAATTCGTTATTGTTTGCCTTAGGCAAGGAACGAAGTTGCTATTTGCTGAGGTAGTGATTCAATATAATAATATCTCATACATTTCACACTACATCATCTAAGGCCCAAGCTAAGCGAAGCTTATGTTATGGGTACTAGAAAATTGATAGAAATTCTTACACATTATTATTATAAATACATAAATAATATATATAGAAAACACAAAGACCGACACAAACAATCATACTCAAGAATACAAATGTTTGTACCGTACGGGGAATAGAAAACACAAAGACCGACACAAACAATCGCCGCGCTACCATCGGATGTAAAACAGTGTGTTGAACTATATTTACAAAAAATACTTAAGTAAATTATGTGTATCAACTGTCTGGTGTTTATAATACAAGCTCTATTTTGAGACTAATTGGCGTTGAGTGAATTATGCAGATTAAAAACGTGACTAATGGAGCAAATTCTTAATCAGGGCATGCATTATCTCCACGGAACGGATATCAGATCTCATGGGGCTTTGAAGTCGAGTAACTGCGTAGTGGACTCCCGTTTTGTATTAAAAATCACCGATTTTGGACTCCACGCGTTGAGAAGCTGCGAGAAAGACTCTAGAGCGCATAGCTATTGGACTCGTAAGTATTATTTTATTTATTTAAATCTATTTCATTTTTTTAAATTTATATGTAAATTTAAAGTAATTACATCGTTATTGCCTTGCATTTATCCCATTATTTGGCATCGGCACAGTATGCCACTTGTATATCTTCCATTGGCGCCTATCTGGATAAAAGAAATATTGTACATATAATTTAATATATAGTAAATTCATTTTTTTAGCTCCTGCTAAAAATAGGGATACTTAGGTGCAATTTATTAGAATTATTTTTATTTGGAAGTTACTTAAGATTTTTAATGTAATAATTATTTTAATATAGGTTTATTGTGGACATCGCCGGAGTTACTCCGTTTGTCAGAACCACCACCTGAAGGAACACAGAAGGGTGATATATATTCGTTTGGGATAATCATGCACGAGATAGTCAATAGACAGGGCGTATTCTGGTTGGGACCAGGAATTGAAATGTCGCCTAAAGGTTGGTGATATGAAAGTTCTTACATTTATATAATTGTAATTAGGTCGACTGAGTCAAATAGAAAAAAAAAAATACTTATTGAACACCAGTATATCAGCAAAAATTGTCATTTACCTTTGAGTGTGCTACCAGCTTGTTTGTTGTTTCAAAAAATAAGTTTTTATAATATTTAAACGTCTTGAAATGACTAGTATTTATATGAATTAGAGTGAAATTTTTAGTGTATTTTTAAATATATGCGATATTGTACTAAATGTGAATAATTTATACTAATTCTCGAGTACTAATCGTACTAACTATAGATAGATAGTGACAGATATAAAAAATTGAAACAATTATAACTGATGTATTTAAATTTAACTCATAATTAATTTTATTCATCAGAAATTATAGAAACGGTGATAGGCAGCGGTATTAGGCCAAATGTGACAAACCTTCGGTCATGCGAAGCTGACGATGCAGCAGAACTGATGAGGAAATGCTGGGCCGAGGATCCTGCCGAGAGACCGGACTTTGGACATCTCAAGATAGCGATACGGCGCCTCAATAAGTAATGTTTATGTACATGTCCCTCATATTGGTTGTGGAATCATCATCATTAACCTCATTATTAACGTAGAACTGCAGAATATTATAGGCCTACAAGTGTTGTATTATCATTTCAGTTTAATTCATCGTTTTTTTATGCTTTCTTAGATATGTACATACTAACAAATTTAGGAACAGTATAGTTTCATAGAATTTCTCAAAGTGTCTGTTACTTCAGAATTTTTTGAATTCGTAGTTTTAATATTTTTTATATAGATCTATATTATTTTAGCAACATTTACATACTCTAAGTTTCGACTGTTTTATTTATATGTAGTTCATCTACTTAATTTATTTATTATTAAACTTTGTTCTAGTGCGGTTCCCTTGTCTAAATTTTCCTATTTTCTGAACATTCATTTCCACGCAAATACTCTCGTTCTAACAGGAAAACACTATAAGAGGAATTTCTTCGAATAATTTCGGCACATAAATCTAAAGTTACATCGGGTGATAAATTAAAAATAAATAAGCAAATTCTTTACATTGTGATTGAATTAATGGTGAACGGGAATTTATTGCGAAACGGAGGGTTCTTCGCTTACAGCTGTTGAAGTATTTCTGAATTACTCCTGAAACTATAGAATGAATAGAAATTTAATTACATTGAGTCATACATTAAAGGAAATCATTCACAGGCTGTATTTGTAAGTGTAACAAAAACTCCCTGCTAATGATAATTTTTTTAATTAATAATTTATTATATGATACGTTTTTAGTAGAGAAAAAATCTTGAATTTTTTTTATAACGCACAGCACAGTGCGTTTGTACATGCTAGACTCATGTCTGTGCGTTTGTACATGCTAGACTCATGTCTGTGCGTTTGTACATGCTAGACTCATGTCTGTGCGTTTGTACATTCTCAGAAAAGTTTTAACCGATCTGAAACTAATATTCACTGATGCGATCTTTCCGTAATATTTAGTCTTTGTTTCATTTTATTTTATTCACAAAGAATAAAGTTCTAATGCATTATTATATATCTTCAACCTAAACAAATTTTGATGAAACTTTACAGTACACTTAACACATGTAAATTAGGCAAATAATGATAATCATATATATATATATATATATGATGATAAATATCAAGTAAGTGTAATGCAGACGAAGTTGTGCAGGTCAGCTAGTTTATAATAAAATAATTGGTAGAAAATGTTAGTATTCCAGAAACTATTTCGGTAGGTGTCAGCTCTCGTTGAACATTGGAAATAAAAACTCCTCGAATATATGAAAACTTTGTACCAATGCTATTTTCCTTTCGTCCCTTTTCGAGTCAAATTACCGAAATTCTAACTTCATGCATTTCAGGGGAAACCACATTGTAGGTAAAAGTTCCAAATTACACAAATCTGCGGCTTAGATGAGTACTGTAACCCTGTTGGAAACGATACTTGAATCTGTGATCTTTTCGGTTAACTTGCTTTTGTACTGCGATCCCTAGGTATTAGGTATTCAGAATAACTGTACATGTGCATTATTAGCGGTTTATGTTTATTAGGTTTTGTTGTATTTTTAAGATAAGATTTCTTTTCATTCTTTAATAATAGAATGTTTAATTAGATTAAAAAATAGTTCAATAGTTCAATGATTATATGGGTTTATTTTTCTGCCAAGATCAACTTTCTGTTTTTCCTTAATACCAATACAGGGCAGAAAATGAAATATGGTATTCTGCTTGAAAATAAAGTAAATTATACTGAAAAAAATAACTAATAATATGCACCATTATTAATTTTAATTATAATATTTATTTCACTATATATGTAATTGTTAAACGTTATAATTCTATTAATATTTATGTATTTATTAATATTATATTTCTGCTTTCGACATCATACTAAATAATCTGCTTCTTTATTAAAATTACATTATACACTTTTATTAACTATGCTTTCTATATTTTAATTGCTATATTTTATTTCATAATACTTGAAGTAAATTTTACTAAATATTTACGGATGAAATTATTAATAATAATAATAATATTATTGTCACCAGAACTCAAGAAAGTAGTAATATATTAGATAATTTACTATCTCGTATGGAACAATATGCAAATAATTTAGAATTCTTAGTAGATGAACGTACCCAAGATTATTTAGAGGAAAAGAAAAAATGTGAAGAGTTATTGTATCAATTATTGCCAAAGTAAGTAAATCTATTCGTTTTAAGTAAATTTAAATGTTAACATTTATATTTTAAAATAATAATATTTTAAGTAATGATGACTTTGTAATAAAATCAGGAATATATTTTTTTATAATTATTAAAAATAATCTAACATTTATTTCTTAAAATAAGACAGTTATTTTAGTACCAGAAAAAGTATACATTTTCTATACTAGTATTTATGATACTAAATAGAAAATGATTTTATGTTTAGAAAATCTCTATATAGTATAAAATATTGCTCACTTCCGCTGTCTGTTCGCTTAGATCTTTTAAAGTATGCAACGGATTTTAGTGCAATTTTCTCATTAGATAGAGTGATTCAAGAGAAAGGTTCATATGTATAATTGGTATTTGCCGGAGCGGATAGTTGGTTTTCAATAAATGCAGCATTAGTATTCTAACTACTCTATAGATAGCGTCATCTAAGTATTACAACAATTTATTTTCTGCAGGTCTGTAGCATCGCAACTAATTAATGGATTATCTGTGGTAGCCGAAACGTTTGAACAAGTTACCATCTACTTCTCTGATATTGTTGGCTTTACTGCTCTCTCTGCAGCTTCTACGCCAATGGAAGTTGTTGATTTACTTAACGATTTATACACATGCTTCGATTCAATTGTAGGGAACTATGATGTTTATAAAGTAAGTACTTACATTGTGTAAAATACGTTAAGAATAAATTTAATACCTTTTTTTAACGAAAATTAGGAAGAGTTTGAAACGCACACTTATAGTTTAAAGATTGTCTGTAATTTCTTCTACATTTATGTATAGTCATAACACATATTGTAAATAATGTAGCTTTAAAAAAAAGAAATTCAATTGAGTTTCTTGCCATTGAATCTCCATACAGAACTGGATGGTACGGAAAAAAAATTAATATAAATAATTTGACGTTCGCAAACGGACAAAATATCCTACATGAATAAATGATTTTTAACTTGAATTTGAATTTAGTCAATTAATTTCTGAAGAGGACCATAAATTTTCTTAACCTTTAAATAGGTAGAAACAATAGGCGACGCGTATATGGTTGTATCTGGTCTTCCTGAGAGGAATGGCACACGGCATGCATGCGAAGTTGCGCGGATGTCACTGGCTTTGTTAGATGCTGTTAGAAGATTCCGTATCAGACACAGACCTCATGATCAGCTCAAGTTGAGGATTGGATTACATTCTGGTAAGATATTTAATATACTTATTTAATATTTATTGCACTATAAATGGTTTACTATAAACATAAATGTTGTGTATTTATAGACATATCATTTTTGTTTATTTCGTGCGCCATCAACTCTTTTCTTACATTTACTTTCTCTATCCACCTAAAAGTAGTATAAATTAAAAAAAATACAGCTTATGACGATACAAAAGATACTTTGCAGTCTCTTCCAGATAATCTTTGGGTACAGATAAGTATAACCAGAACTATAACTATTACCCGCGACTTCGTAAGCTTTTATACTTTCATCCCCATTTTTTTCCCTTCTAGATTACGTTTTGAAATAAACGAGTGTTAAGTCTGGTCCCGTGATCGTCTATCTTCTTTAAATAGATAAAAAAATTATGTACAATACAGATATATACATTAATAATGTTTATCTTATAAATATATACGAGTATAATATGATATAATGATTTCAGAATGCAAATTTATTAAAACATACGAAGTCGCTGTTGACAACTAGTTTTTTTTATGATATAACCATTGAATCCTTTCTCTAGAACTACTAGAAGATTTATCTCAGTACTCGGAACATCATATAGCTCTTAACCATAATCGCCAAAACGCAATTGGCATAAGAATGGACAAAAGCTCCTTATGACGAAGATAGTTTGGCCCTTTCTAAAGATGGTATCGACTTATCTCTAGCCGAGAGGGTCACAGACAAAGCACAAGGAAAATTTACTAGTAGATAAATACAAAATCAAAACAAGATTTGTTATTTCCTCAGTAATATATGCTACATATAATTATTAATATATATTTTCTTTCATATAAAGAATGGAATAAAAGCTTGATAAATAAAAAGTGTTTACACACTGAGTTTATTCAGTTTTATCCTTTATTAAAGAGAAGGAAAAATGAATTATTTCTTTCTTTTTTAGAATGTGTAAAAAATGGTAAAATTTGTAATGTTTATTTTTAATTTTGAATAAAAACATCAAATGAAATAGTACGTAATATAAAATTAGACAAACCTATAATAGTTCAGACAAGCAGATAGATACCTAGGAAGTTTCTTATAGTATTGTAGTAAAGTAAAATCAAGATATGTTTTATTTTTTCCTATGCAAAAAATATTTATTTTAAAGCGTTATATAATAAATCATGGCCTTAATTAGAAATATAAACCTAAAATCACATCGCCTCCTAAAATAATATTGGAAGAGGAAGTAAATTTTATGATCCCCAATATTTAATATAGAATATGAATAATATTACATGTATAATAATATTTATTTATACTTTTGTATGTTCCCTTTTGATTATTATGTATATTATATTTTTTTAACCAGCAATTCTTTCACTGTTTTACATATATTATCAATAGTAATATTATAGAATTAATTATTTTGCTTATAATTGATTTAAAAAATCTTTTTTATTATACTATGTACGTTATTAGAAAGTAATATAGGCTTTATACAGTTCTATATGTATATTTTTTTGTAAACATATTACGATTATTATACTATTACTAAGTAATAATAATGTTGTATTATCTAAACATTATAGGGCTTGGAAGCTATAAAGAAATCACTATGCAATTTTCCAAGCAATTTGCGAAAGTCTGTTAACGTATCCATATGATTTCAGTTAATGAGCCATGCTAAGGATCTTCCTGACAATATGACATGACTTTACAATATTTTTTCTACATCGATAATTCTGTATTCGTTATACAGGTTCCCTAACATAAAATATCCTTATTTGATAGATATATAGATTGCCAAAGGATATATATTCTATTTCTTTTAATATTTGTATATTAAAAGAAATAGAATATAGAAGTATACCACTTCAAAAATTATGTATTTTGAAATGAATTTATTAAAAACACTTCATATAAATTATTAAATAGTATAAAACAAAGTCGCTGTTGCTGTCTGTCCATCCCTATGTATGCTTAAATCTTTAAAACTACGCAACGGATTTTGAAGCGGTTTTTTTTATAGATAGAGTTTTTTAAGAGGAAGATTTCTATATATAATACATCTACACCCGTGCGAAGCCGGGGCGAGTAGCTAGTTTTGTAATAAAACTTGTGTATGTTTTGATAAAATGAAACTAGTAATTTTGTAAATGTATTTTATTTTCAATATAAAATTTAGATCAATGGAGTCATTAATAAAGTTCCTATATTTGTTCTCAGTTTACTTTTCAAAAAGTTTAAAAAATGCTTTCACTATTACACTAGTCATGTTTATTCCCTTAAATTGTCGATCAAATTCTAAAAGTTACAAACTTACTAAAAGAAATACACGTACAGTTTGTCGGGGTTGAAAGTATCAATATCCATTTAAGCTATCTTGACAAACTTTCCCGCCTTTGTTAAAGTAAGTTTGACGGGAAATCCTTCGAAACTTACGTAGTACAGCTTATACGCATCGTGTTAAACAAAAGTACTTTTATGTTTCCAATTCAATATTAAGCTAGATGTTTTTATTTATTTCTAGATATTTACATTTTTCTGTCTGTTTTATTAAATAAATTGGTAATAAAAATATATGTATATGGGACTAATTGATATTTTTTTATATAGAGATTAAGTAACAGATTTTAAAAGACATTTTAATGAATATAAGATTTTGTGACATTTAAGTGCCTTGAAATTAATAGGCACAATGGTTGTGGAATAAAAAGTATAATCCATCACAGTTAAGACTAGTGCTCTTGTTGATAAGTAATAGTTATGTCTTGCGTGGAACTTTGATGAAATCGAGAATAAATTGTATTTACTGCTATATATCCACTGAATATCTCCATCAGAAATTATAACAGGACTACTACAAGTTTAAAGCATATAAAAAAATATTTTTGTTATAACGTAACGCAACGCAATATACACATAAAAGTTAAGCTAATTATAACATCTATTTATGTTATAACAGCAGACCAATTAAACCCATAGCATTCTGAACGATATTTAAAAACTGTGATAACATTTCAAACATCTGTTTTCCATTCTAAATAAGTTTAATGAATTGCAATTATAGAAAAAATGCGCGGAACATCGTGTAAACAAAAAAGGTAATTGTAAATATAAATAGAATAAATTAAAAAGGGCATGGGCCGTCTGTTTGTGGTTGTAAATAATAGAATTCTCTTTCCATCAGGTCCATGTGTTGCTGGCGTCGTTGGTCTGAAAATGCCTCGATATTGCTTATTTGGTGACACAGTCAACACAGCATCACGGATGGAGTCGAATGGAGAAGCTCTAAAGATTCATGTATCACCAGATACTAAGAGTCTATTGGATAGCTACGAGTCATTCCAATTGGAGTGTCGGGGAGAAGTTGCTATGAAGGTAAAGTGCAATTGCTTGTATGATAAATTAACAATTCAGGTTAAAATATGTGTAACAATATACTTCAATTTGTTATTGTTCGGAACATTATTTGTTAAAAACTTAAGTAATTTAGTTGTTAGTGTAAATACTTTTTTATTTATTAGATAAAATGATCCATATGTAGATTCCATGAGAATAGTGTACAAAGAAACGAGAAGCGTCCTTCATCACTATATGTATTATAAACCTATAATTAAAAATAATTTGTTACAGGGTAAAGGAGTTCTAGTCACGTATTGGTTGTTAGGTGAAAAAGTAGACCCAAATGCACCTAAAGAAAAACCCCCGTTGATAAAACACCAAACACAGTCATCAGAAAGCGGTTCTCTATCTCACTTAACACCATTCAGGCAGCGTTTAGATCATGGATCCCGTTCGTCCAGTAGAAGAGGCTCTGGAATATTCTTACAAAAATCAAATGACAATAGTAAACTAGAAAAATTAGAAAAAGAAGCTACACCTCTATTACAAAAGCTTAAAGTACAAAGACAACATTCAGACCCCACAGAGCCTGTTGCTAATGGAGTAAACGACAATAGTGACGAATTAGAAAAAATAAGTGTAACAAATTCCATATCACTAAATGTGAATTCGTTGAATCACAATTCTGTAAGTCATGGACAACCAAAGGTTAAACTGAAGGATTGTCAAATGAATTCAGTTGGCAATCATAAATCGAATAAGGTAGGTAATAATAATTGGATAGCAAAAATACCAACAGCTAGTTCCTTTGATAACGGTTCTAAAAAAGTTAATGAGCATTTGAAAGATTACAGCAGTGTACCCTTGTTGTCTAAGTCTGATACGCTGAATGATTCGATAGTGTAATTTTGTACTTAATATGTTCAGTAATATTACTGAATGCATAACTTATTATAGACTGCATATTTTTCTTTAATAGTATTATGATCAGAAATATAATTTAACTTTACACAAATAATTATAATAGATGTGGATAGAAACATAAAAAATAGTTAAAATAAGATAAACAACATTTTATTAAATTAAGTGGAATTTTATTATATTTCTGGTCAAGGTTTAACTTATTAATATATGTACTTATTTAGCAAAGAAGAGAGAGTTTTTAATAATAAATATCAATGTTTCGGTGTCAATGCTAGATTATTAGGTGTTGCAATTGTTAATGAAATTGTATGCTCACTTAAATATCGTATAAAATATGTGCTGAGGAATTAATAAGATCGCAATTTTGTTACATATTTAGATAGAAGAGTCATGGTTTATCTGGAATATTGTAAAATGATTATGAATAGAAATAACACCATAAACATAAATAATATAATCTGTACATTATAAATTTAGAACAACATTTTCACTAAGGTACATTTTATACGATATTAATGTCATTCCTAACATTCCTAGGCTTCTGTAGTTAGAAATCTATCCTGCCACGAGTGTGATAATTTTGTAAGAATTGAACATCGAAATTTTATAATCCAAATCGTTGAGAAATTATAAAAAAAAATTCAATGTACTTATTAATTTATTAATGTGATCAAACCTTAAATCTTTAATAAATTTCATTTTGTTTCTTTAATAAATTCAATTTAATTAAAACTGAATATTTAAGGAAATATTCTTGATACATTAAAACTATTTTGCTTGTGTAAAGATACATCTAAAGCAGGTAATCCGGTTGTTAATATTAGACAGCACTAATCTATTGAAAGTTAGCAGTGGGCTTCAAAGTTTAATGTGATTTACCATTAAATCTAAGTCCATTAGGCTTATGAAACTATTAAGTGACAAAGGAAGCATGTAATAGGAAAGTATATATACTGAAAATAATTTAAACAGTAAACTTTATCGACAATTAGAGACGTGCCCAAAAACTACCAAACCATAAAGCTGTCCTTATTTACTATGATTTGGTACTGTGATACTGCAATTAATAGTTTCCAGTAACTTAATTTCATACGCACTTTTTTATGTAACAATGGTATTTCCTTAATATTTTATGTTTATATTTGTATCTCGGTTAACAAATGTTACAAGCTTCCAGAGCTCATCATCATTTTCCTCCTTGCTCTGAACATTGTTATTAATTATAGGTCCCATATTAAAATGTGTAATGTCTTTCTCCAAGACATCATTAATTTCATTTTTTTCCAAGTTATTTGCTTCAATACGTGTAGTATTTTATTTTTCTCAAAAGTTTAAACTTCTTATTATTAATGTACTAGCTGTACCCGCGACTTCGTCCGCGTAAAATAGTGACCTTGAGCAAATAATAAAAAATATATATTAATAATCTAACCCAATAAAAAAGTTTCATCGTTCTAGCTTCAAAAATGAAATTTCCATACATAATTCCATACAATTCAATCAACAGCCAAAAACTAAGTTTCAAACTACTATCTTTAAAATGAAGATACTTCCATACATACCATACATACATTACATCTCCCCTTTCAACCCCTTATAACCCTTTTTCTTGTTTTTTTTTAATGCTACTTATATTAGTGTCATCATGTACCAATGATAAGATGTCGCTATACTGTAACCATTTATGGCTGAGTCCTGTGGCGGTAAGTACTGATATTTTCTCAACAGCCTAAAAAATGGGTTTCAAGTTTCTAGCTTTAAAAAATGACAATACATGCATATAACATTTTAACTCCCCTTTTGACCCTTACAACCCATTTTCGTTAATTATATTTAATCAATACGCAAAAAAATAAGATTGAAGCTTAAACTTTTAAAAAATTCCTCTTTCAGTCTCTTATAACCCTTTTTAGCGTTAAAAAGTAACCTATGTCCTATCTCAAGATCTAGACTTTAAATTTCATTTAAATCAGTTCCGAAGTTTTGGCTTTTAAGACAGACAGACAGAGTCACTTTCACTTTCATAATATTAGTAAGGTATTTATTAAATAAACTGACCCAAAAAAGCGTAAGAAAAAAGCTTCATCGTTCTAGCTTCAAATATGACGAATTTCCATAAAAACTTTTATCTGCTATTTTATTTTACCCCTTGAATGGTGACAATGTGATATTTACAAATTTAAATGTCATATTTATTTATATATAATAAACAGTTTAAACATTTCTTTAAATTCTTTTGTAAATTGGTGGTCCAGTTGGCCAATAACATAATAAAATTTTGTTAAATCAAAATAATAGATGTGATATTCTAAATTGCAAACTATCCCTCTACTTGCGCGAACCATATCTCTGACTCTACTGGCCAGAATGGAGAAACGCGTATTCCGAACCTGAATAGCTCGGATGGAACGGTAGATGTTGTTTCTTCCAAGGAAATGTTGTCCATATGTATTGACAACATTTTTAATATTATATGTTGTTTTATTCTTCAAAAATATTAATAATATGTTCTTACGCTCTTGTCCAAGAGCAGGGTCATCAGTTATAGGCTATACCAGGATTATATTTATGTATTTATAAAATAAAATTGCAGAGCAAACGTTTATTCATTTAAATTCATAAGGAGACAACGGATTGACAATAATCAGTTGCGCGCGCAACTTATACAAATGACATATATGTTTATTTATGACATATGAGTGTTAATAAGTCGCATATCTAGTACAATACTGGTGTAATTCAGAAATTAAAAATTTTTGAAAATAGACTTAATAACACAATTATAAAGTAGACTTTCCAAAATATCTAATTTTTTATTTAGGCCATTATTATAATAAGTTTGTATTCAACCGCATAAAGATAACCTTGCATTACCATTTTCAACCCCTTACAACCCTTTTTTCGCATTAAAAAGTAGCCTATGTCCTTCCTCGGCGTCTAGACTATATGGGTACCAAATTTCATTTAAATCAGTTCAGTAGTTTTGGCGTGAAAGCGAGACAGACAGACAGACAGACAGACAGACAGACAGAGTTACTTTCGCATTTATAATATTAGTAAGGATTAAAAATTCTGTGATCGTGGCGTTAGCTAGAATAATTCCATCAAATTGTATTTTGTTACCCCATATATTTAGTTATAGAACAATTTTTGTTCCATGAACTAATATGGTTTAATCGTAAGAAACCCTAATATTTATTGGTTCTTATATCAGTGATGAGACTAGAATGTAAATATAGAAGAAAAATCTATTTATTGTAAATATTGTCATAGTGTAAGTAAATTACTATAGGTGAAAATTGCGATCTATGCTTTCAATCCACCCCAGGTGGATGAGAGCGTGTGTTTACAATAATCATAATATTTATTGTTTCAATGTCGTTGTGATCTTAGTGAAAGTTATTCTTAACTATATTTATAGTGTAGTTAATTATAAATTAAATGTTTCAAAAACGTTATAGCAAATATAAAGAATGAGAATTAATCTTGGAGTTTTTTTTAAATTATTTAGACAATTTTATCATAATATGCCAGTCCCCTCGTATCTTATTACTAATCTTATCTTCTACTATCCAATGAAAATGAAAATTTTCTACCATCATCAAGTCTATTTTTTATATACAATTTCCTATTAAGTGCATGTTGGACACATTCCATCAATATGTAATGCAGATCTTCTACCATACTGAGTGTTTTGCAGTCGGGGAAAATCTATCCATGCTTTAAAAAGGCAAATGAATTTAATCTATAATGTCCAAAACGCGTTCTTAATGCTGTGATAATTAATTTTCTATTGTACTTCTTCTTTTATCTCCCTAGTAGGTACATATTTGAATAACACGTGTCTGAAATATTTATACTTGGTTACTTGACCACTAATAGACTTTCCTTGTAAGCTTCTTACAGGATTTAGAATATTGTTACTGTTATTATTATATATATGAGTCGACAATAGCACAGAGCCTAAAAAATTCACTAAATAACTACTGTAGTTCATGTACATATATGTATATACTGTGACTTTTGTCATAGTTAAATAACATAGATGCAACTTTAGTATACAGATAATTTAGTAAATAGAATAGAATAAAGGATTAAGATAGTTTATATAATAATACAAACGTGATATAGAAATGTGTTCGAAGAGAATAGAAAGGACCTATATTAATTATTATACAAGAATAAAAAAGCTATAAAAATGTCTTTAAAATGATCAAGAACCTAACCAATAATATCGCACATTGTAACATGAACTAACCTTCTTAGGTTTTGAAAATGCAAAATTATTGCTAAATAACAGTATATTCCAGGTATAATTTATATGAGAGTGTTTAGCGATAAAATAGAATCGCTAATATTATTGTGTTTTCTTTTAACAGAAGCACCAAGAAGAGGGAGGTTTTAGCGGTTATGTTGGAGCCGCTATTATTTATGTTTATTGAGTTCTTGGTAGCAGCAGCAGGATAAGAGGAGGTGAAGTGATGAGTCCAGATTGTGGCTATGTACATATTTATAATATAGAAGTATTTACAATTGATATTATATAGATACGTACAAGAAATTGATTCGGTCTCGAATGATAGGCCTTTTATTTTATTGTAACTAGGCCGCGCGATAATAGTTAATTCGCCACAAAGTGAAATGAAGAGAAAGGTTGTGGCTTCTTCTTCTCAGTCGGTACACTCTTGTCAGAGTGGTCATGGTCAACATTTTGAATCGATGAGTGAGGTTTTTGGTAATATGGCGTCATTCGTCGCGGACTGCAGCTTTCCGGGTACATTCGTAAACTGAGCACTTAGTTGCGGCCTTGATTTGGTTTGTCCATCTCATTGGTGATCTACCACGTGGCCTGGTACCTTCCACTTTTCCTGTACTACGAGACGCTCTATGGAGTCATTACCATGGCGAAATACATGGCCGAAGAAGGTCAGAATGCGTGACCTATCAACCACAGTGCGGTTGATAGGCGCTGTCTGTTTGTGGTTTGTGGCTTGTGGTTGTGGCTAAGTATATATTTATATTGTAGAAATATTTACAAATGATAGACGTACATAAAAAATGTCTTCACAATAGGATTTGGTATCGAATGACAAGGCTGTTATTTTCTTTTATCATAGTAACTAAGCAACAGTGTTGCGGAGCGATGATTGAAATTTATCACAGTGCTGATTACGATGACTATTAAACTCTACCTCTGGTAAATCATTAAGATCTGGTAACAAAAATAATTTAAACAAGTGTTTAGGTCTATTTATCGACGCTGACATTCAATAACACTTAATATATGTTTGGAGTTTATATTTATAATATTATAAATGCTAAAGTAAGTCTGTCTATCTGTCGCGCTTGAACGCTAAAACTACCAAACTGATTTAAATGAAATTTGGTACGCAGATAATCTAGATACTGAGAAAGGACATGAGCTAATAAAATAAATGTTTAATGCGCAAAAATAATTGTAAGAGGTTGAAAGGCGAGATGAAAAGTTTTACGGAAATATTGTCATCTTTAAAGCTATAAGTTTTAGACATTCAAAATTTGTAAAAAAAGAGGGTTAAAATAAAATAGGGGATGAAAGTTTGTGTACACATTTCAATGCCGTAAATAGCTTATTAAAGGATTTATTAGCCTATATAATTCAAAATGCTACTCCACGCGGACGAAATCGCATCCACAGTATTCCATATGAATAAAAGTCATCTGCGTAAATAGATTTATGAGAAAGAAGTGACTAGGCCAGTCAATCAAACAGTACCCTCGTCAAACGTACATCGACTAAATTAGCAATATTCTGAAGGTCAATTGACTATATCTCTTGTTCTTACTTCACACGCATTTATCTGTCTGAATTAGAAGTTGTATTTCTATATTCAGTAGTTTTTTGTGTTCTTTAATTATATACTTTAGTTTAGTGTTTTAGTCAGCAATTTGAATTAGCTCGTAACGGCTAGTCGAAACGCCGAGACCTTTATTTTCAACAAACTTATTGGTGCTAAAACTCGTTTAACTATATTAATAATGTATACTAAACACGAAAGTTTAAAGATAGGTTTTGTGTTCCTGCTTTCCTTTATTTTTACGTAGAATGAAACTAAAATACTTACTTATACAAGACATTTAGGACTTACAAAATGAATTACAATAATCGAGTTTTTGTTAAGTCGAGGTCCTGGAAAACGAAAACGTGGACAGTTATCGAAGCAGTCTTTGTACATAGTCATCTGCGTGATATACCTGTATCACCTATTTCAGTCGCCAAGCAGTTTGCTTCGTAAGCAGTTTCGGTTGAAGAGTAAGTATATCAGCGAAATTACATGGTACCAAGGCAGTCGTTGTACGACAGGCATGCGT